TAAGCAAAAAAACTTTTGCACAGCTAAGGGTACCATAACCAAAGCAAATAGTCTTCAGAATGGCAAGAGTTTTGCATGTTATGCCTGATAACTAGAATCTAACAAGAACTCAAATTAAACAATAAGAAAAGAGCAAACAACCCCCTCTATGAGTGGTCAAGAGACTTGAACAGAAACTTCTCCAGAGATGCCAGACAAATGGCCAAAAAACACATGTTCATCATCTTTAATCATCAGAGAAATGCAAATCAAAACCACTCTGAGATATCACCTAACCCCAATAAGATTAGCTCCCATCACAAAGTCCCAAAACTGCAGATGCTGGTGTGGATGTGGAGAGAGGGGAATACTTCTACCCTGCTGGCAGGATTGCAAACTAACACAACCTTTTTGGAAAGAAGTATGGAGAATCCTCAAAGAACTAAAAGTTGACATACCATTTGATCCTGCAATCCCATTACTAGGTATCTATCCAGAAGAATGATATCAAAGTCTTACAAGGAAACTTCAAAGAAAGAAAATTATAAATCAATATTCTTCATGAACATTGATATAAAAATCCTTATCAAAATATTAGCCAATTAAATCCATTAATACAAAAACATTATAACACATATGACCAAGAATTTCAAAGAATGCAAATTTAGCTCAAGATTTTAAAAGTAATCAATGCAATTCACTCCACTAATAGAATGAAAGAGAAAAATCTTAAACACTATGAAAAAAATGCTCAGCCAACTAGAAGTAGAAGAGAATTTTCTCAATCTCATAAAAGGCATCAAAACAAAAATAAAAACAGAGCAGCACCTGTGGCTCAGTGGGGAGGGAGCCAGCCCCATACACCGAGGGTGGTGGGTTAGAACCCAGCCCCGGCCAAACTACAACAACAAAAAAAAAATAGCCAGGCGTTGTGGTGGGCTCCTATAGTCCCAGCTACTTAGGAGGCTGAGGCGAAAGAATCGCTTAAGCCCAGGAGTTGGAGGTTGCTGTGAGCTGTGACACTATGGCACTCTACTGAGGGCAATAAAGTGAGATTCTGCTCTGTCTCTAAAAAAAATAATAAAATAAAATAAAATAAATACAACAACAAAAAAAACTTCTGCAGTAAACATTCATACTTAATGCTAAAAGCCTATCTGCTTTCCTCCTACAGTTGAGAAAAAGAGAGGATATACCCTGTCACCACTGCTACTCAATGTGACTCATGTCGTGGTGGTAGTGGAGGCTTTAGCCAGTCCAATGGCTTTGCCTCATTTTTGTATTGAATAATAGTAACCTCAAAGAAAAAGGTGAGAAGTGTTTTCTCCTCTTCTATGCTTTGAAAGATTTTATGAAAAACTGATATCCTTATTTAAATGTTAGGTAGAATTCACCCATAAAGCTATGGTAGCCTGGGCTTTTCTATGTGGGAAACTTTAAAATTATTAATCCAATCTCTTTACTTGTTATAGGTTTATTCAGATTTTCTCTGTATTTCTTTTTTTTTTTTGGTAATTGTTTATTTTCTAGGACTTCATCCATTTCATACAGGTTATCTAATTTTTTGGCATACCATTGCCCATAATATTCTCTGATATTTCTTTTTGTTTCTGTAAGGCAAGATTTACTAGCTGATGTCAAGACTTGTTCTAAAGCTATCATTATAAAGATGTCTTAGAAAAGACATAGAAAGCAATAACCAGAAAGGACCAAAAAAGGATAAATTAGACTTCATCAATAT